AAAGTGCCTCAGGCCTTGACTGCTTTATTTATTTCATTCTTCTTTGAAAGCGGCTCTTGTCATCTCTAAAGTTTTTATTTTTTTCCCAGTTTCAGCCTCAGGGTGTGTTTGAGCTTTCTTTTTTTTTTTCTTTTTTCTTTTTTGATCAGCTAATATGCCCGGGTACCTTATTAGGATTCCAACGAGCCATAGTAGCACTCAAAACCAAGGCCGACATCATGATGGCTTCAAGTCAGCTAAATCTGATTTCAGATTTTCTATCTCTGATCACTTCCGCCAGTCTCAACTGGTAGTTAACACCCGTAATTCAATGCTCCTCCTTTCTCATTATGTTCCTGATTTTTATTGCCAGCTTGTGGCAGAAGGCCATACAAGATGAACCGCATCGTGGGAGGGCAAAACGCCGATCTAGGGGAGTGGCCGTGGCAGGTCAGCCTTCACTTTCTCACCAATGGGCACGCTTGTGGAGCATCAATCATATCAGAGAGGTGGCTCCTTTCTGCTTCACACTGCTTCATCACCAGCAGCCCATTGTAAGTCACAGCTGAAGCATCCATAACACTCGTGCACATGTACAGAGCTGGACTATACTGTACACATCCTTAACCACAGTCTGTCTCATATGTTTTGTGTTCTAAACCGTTATTGTTTTCCTCCAAATGTTATTATTCATCAAGTTATTTACCTTTTATTCAATCTCATTATGCAATACTCCAATGCACTTTCTGCTGGAAGAATAGTAGAACTGTGCACAACAGAGGACCATTTATATGAAAATTGCAAAGTCTGAAAATTAGCCCCTGATGATGCAGTTAATTCAGAAAAACCTTGGGGGGGCCAAATTTACATCTCATCTATTAAAAAACAGGAGGATGTAATAACAAGAGTGACCTGTAGGTGGAGCACTTACCATGCTGTTAGTCAGGGAATGTGTGCATTTTCTTAGACTTTCAGTTGCTGTTGATATTTGCTGTACACACCATAATTTAATTTGTAAGCATTTTCTAGATTGGACATTCAAGCCACTAAATAGGTTATTTTTTTACAGTCACTGCTCATCATAAATAATATCAAGTGTTTTCAACATATCTTGAAAACTGAATGCAACCCAGCAGAATTACAATGTGGCATATCCTGCCTTTGTTGCCTAAAAGTGTTTGCAGTAACTGTTAGAGAAGGTGTGTTATTGCTTTCTAACACTCTAACCTTTAAGCTGCGTATGCTTCAGGCCTATTTGGTTTGGTATCGTATTAGATTGGACACATGGTCATGACATTGCATCCTCCCATCCTGGTGCTTGCGTGTACAAAAACATAACCTTTCCCCTATGATCCTACCACAGGAACTATGTTGCATCCAACTGGCAGACCTACAGCGGCATGCAGGACCAGTACAAGGAGGATGACAGCGTACAGCACCGCAAATTGAAGAGGATCATCTCCCACCCAGATTACAACCAGATGACCTTTGACTATGACATCGCACTGCTGGAGCTCAGTCAGCCGCTGGAGTTCACCAACACCATCCAACCCATCTGCCTCCCCTCATCCTCCCACGTCTTCCCTGCAGGCACGCCTTGCTGGGTCACAGGCTGGGGCGCGCTTCGAGAAGGAGGTATTATGCACTAGTAGAACTGTAGTAGGGTTTTTTTCCCCACTGTAACTGATTATTAGACACAATGTGAATATTTATTCTGTTATTCCTCAATTACGGGTGATCTGCACTCCAACTGTTTTTTTTCCTTTTTAGCATACCCATCTCACATCAAAATGAAGACACCCCACTCCTCCCCCATCCTTCTCACAATTAGCTATTCATCTCTGTCCTTTATCTTTATTCCCTGCCTGCTTCTTTCTTCTTCTTCTTCTTCTTCTTCCCTTCATCTCTTTCTCACTTCATCCTGTCTTCTTTCTTTCCTTTAATGTCCCTCCAATTTCTTTATCTCTTCCATCATGACAAACTTCTTTTCTGCTCAACCCAACCTCCTTTTTTTTCCTCTCATCCTTTTCTAATCTGCTCTATTCCATTAAGCCTTCTTCCATATCCATATATCAAGACAGACGCCGGCTCTCCTGGGAAGCCTCTTAAACATTCATTAGCTAACACTAATCCAGCCCATTAACACCTTTGATGTTGGTGACGAACACAGAGGTCATGTGGCAGAGTACTGACCCCTTTGTCTTGCTCTCTCAGGTCAAAAGGCACAGCTGCTGCAGAAGGCATCGGTGAAAATTATCAATGACACAGTGTGTAATGTGGTCACGGAGGGCCAAGTCACCTCCAGGATGCTCTGCAGCGGATTCTTGGCCGGAGGAGTCGATGCATGCCAGGTGAGACTGTGTTATGTTCTCCATCCAAAGGGCGGAATATAGATTTCCGCCACATATACAGTAGGTCTTCACACCTTATCAAGCGCTCATATATATATATATATATATATATATATATATATATATATATATATATATATATATATATATATATATATATATATATATATATATATATATATATATATATCTCTCTCTCTCTCTCTCTCTCTCTCTCTCTCTCTCTCTCTCTCTCTCTCTCTCTCTCTCTCTCTCTCTCTCTCTCTCTCTCTCTCTCTCTCTCTCTCTCTCTCTCTCTCTCTCTCTCTCTCTCTCTATCTATCTCTCTCTAATCTAATAACAATTCGCCTCTGCCTGTCATCACCAGGGAGACTCTGGAGGGCCCCTGGTGTGTTTTGAAGAAAGTGGTGGGAGGTGGTTCCAGGCCGGCATAGTGAGCTGGGGCGAGGGCTGCGCTCGTCGGAACAAGCCCGGCGTCTACTCGCGTGTCACCAAGCTGAGAGAGTGGATCAAGAAGGAGACAGGGGTTTGAGGATGATGTAAAGAGCAAGGAGGGATGCAGAACAACATCAAAAAAACTTTCCGGAGAAGGAACATTTGAGTCTGATTCAGGACAGGTGTCTCAAAGCGTTGTCCTTTAAGCAGCTGAGGAGACTCTCGCATGGACTCAGCTACTTGTGTGGAAGCACTTTATTTGGTTGCGAACTCCCTTTGAACACCGCCCCTGTCACTCACTTTCACACACACGCACACACACACACACACACACACACACACACACACACACACACGCAGTGCACTAACTCATATTTTTTGTTTGCAAGCACTGTATAGTCTTACTGTACCTCCGAAGATATCGACATGTTTCACAAGTTATCATAACCTTAATACATATGATGAAATATGCATGAACTCATAATTCGCTTTAACTTTTACAAGATCATTTTATGAATAATGGATTAAGGATTTTAACTTTTTATAGGTTTTTATGTTTATTTTCAGCCCTTTTTAAGCCTTTTGGGTTTTTCTGAACAGGTGCCATGAGCTTTGGTGAATGTTGCACTTTGCGTATGCTGTATATAGTTTAAATAGCTTTACATATGGGGTTTTATTTATCAATTGTCTAACAATAAGACATCTTTGAGCACATTGGCTTCAAAACACTCACTTACTTCTGGCTATTCTCCAAAGAATAGTTATCAAGCAGCCACTAGTCTCCGTTTTTATCTGTTATTAATTCAAAACATCAACTTGTAGGGACATCCATATTACTGTGTGTTGAAATTAAGATGAAAAAAAAGTTTTTAAAAAAGGGACATTTTAATATAATACTTAAGTGAATGAAAACCAGAAGCAGCCAGGAAGGTGGGAAAAGCACTAATCAATTTAAGGGCCTGTGAGCTGTTTGGAAAATGGCCAGCAGTTAATGCTAAGTACACAAGATTTGTAGGCAGAAAACTCCAGTGTGGTCCCAGAAGATGGATCTGAATGAAAGACTGGACTGTTGCTGGAGTTGTTTTCAGTTGTTGTTGATCTGAAGCTTGGTCCTCGATCAGTATTTCTGTTGCATAAATACAAGTGCTGACTGGCCTTGGCTGCTCTGTGAATGAGTTTCCAAAATGTTATATTCAAGAGGGGAGGTGGAGGATGAGGATTAGATCCAAGTGGCTCTATGTAAACTCAGGCTGATGGGGGTCTTCAGTAAAAAAACACCTGAGGGCCAAAACAAACCAATAGGGTTTCACAATACGCCAGAGCAATGCAGTGATTTCTTTTCCCCTTTCAAGTTTCCATCTTTAGTCACGACTTAATCAAATCTGAGATTTGATCGGGTGCGTACTTTACTCTTAATCCCTTACTTAACCTGGAAATAGTGTTTCCTGGATTAACAAACCAAAGATTTGCAAGTATTATTTATTTTAAGGGAAAAAGTTTTAAAAGATTTTAAGGATATTGCTGAGCTGCTATTTGTCGTTCTCTTGCTGGAGGTGAAAGTTAAACAAAGCAGGTGTGAATGTGTGTGTGTAATTTCAGAAATAAAGATAAATACACAACTTGTAATATATATATATAAGTATTCTACAAAAAAATGGTTTGGATTATGGACATTTTTGATGTTGAAACTTTTTTTTTTAGATGTTTGTAAATTGATGTTTTTATATGAGCGTTGATAATAAACATCTTTCATCAGATTCCTCAGTACCTGATTGCATCACCTGTATTATTTGTCTCAGATGAGGCCTGGTTCTGCATTGTGTTTTGCATGATAAATTGGTGTCTTGTGAGACCTTGTCCCTCCTCACAGTAGAATTGTAATGAGCATGTACTTCTCCTCCCCGTCGTGAGCAGCGCGTCTACCTGGGGAACAGAGGTGACAAGATGAACTTGTACTGTCAAATAATACCTGCCTTTGTCACAGCTCCATCCTATTACCCTACAAGACCGGCATGTCGACTTCAGGAGGATACTATACAGTGGGGGGTTCTAACTCATCTGTCTTCATTAAAGCAGCGCTCCACTTGGGGAATAGCAAAATCAACAAAGACAGTGCTGCTAATTTATGTATTCATCATTGTTGCTTCATGGGAAGCTTTGTTTGTCGCTGTTCCTCATGCCCAATGATGCTGCTCACCAGGCTGGTTCATTCTCAAGATTCACACCAGCCAGATCTTTATCGGAAATGGTTTTATTTAAATATAAATATGTGTACAAAGGTACAAGCAACGATAGCTCATTTTTAGCAAATAAAATTCTTAATACATTATTAAAAGAATAAACAAACAAATGGCAATTAGTTGTGTTTCAAAAAAAAGCATAGTAACTGCATTCAATGATTGATGAACAACTCAGAGAAGAAAATTTGTGGACCAAAAATAAGTCAACCAAGATAGATACATATGTATATAAAGATACTTTACAATAGAGCAGCTTACACGCTGTACATTAAGGCTTATATAAAATATAAAAATAAAGTCAAGCGATGATGTTTGCCTCCTCACTTTAAGTGACATTTGTTCTCTCATCAGGCTGCCTGGGAACAGCTTTGTAGACAAATGGCAGTACAGGCCTCCATACTGAAACATCCAGGTATTGGAATGTGACCGGGCCAGGTGTTGAAATGAATGTCTCCAACATGAAATGGACATGAGTATAAACGCTGAAGAGTTTCACTAGACACATCATTTGCATGCAACAGAGAGAAGGTATGGGCTCAGCCATTTGTACAGATACTTAGTGTTTCAGGGTAGTACTGTTTCTTGTAAACATATTGAGACTATTTGATTGAGTTGTAAAACTTGAGTGGATGGCCCACATAAGGACTGTTTAAAACATCTCTCCCTTGCTGACTTTGATGCCGTATTCAAGTTTATTTTTACTTCAAGATTGCCACCTTTCCATACCACCACTTTTTGATTGTTCTGGTTATAGCCTACTTTTCATTTTACAATCAGAGATCACAGCAGAAAACAGTACCAGGGGTTTGACGGTAGTTTTCAACATCAGCCCCTGTTTTTCACCCTTTAAAATTACCACCATCTTTGGGTTGACATGGCCTCGCCTTGTCCATCTTGGTACAACACAGTTAACATAAAGACCTCCATTACAAATGAAGGTTAAAACACACATTCTCTCCATATCTCTTTTTTCTCCACTGGTAAGCAACACTTCTAAGTCCAATGTGTTAGGCTTATAATCAGAAGAAGCTCCAGGAATACAGGTCAGGCCAGAAGTATTCCTTCGCTGATTAGACTCTTCTTATAATACAGTGCCTGTAGCACTTGTTGGTCAGTAGAGCTAGCCTGTTGTGCAGAAAAATTCGTCTGTCTCTGTGGATAGCTCGGTCTTATGTTGATGAAAGAGACACAAATGTGCTTAGAATTCCTTCGCATGCCAACAAAACACCAAATGACAGACAACAATAGGCTGTTTTTTTTTACTAAATTATGTCTTGCTTGTCATTTGTTCCTTCAAAAATTTTTAGCGTTTAGCATTGACACAAAGTAAACTCTGGAAGGCAGGTAAACAGCTACCCCAATCATTTTGGCCACCCAAATTCAGGAGATTCCTTTGAATTTTCTCATTGGCCCTCAAATGGACAGAGTATCTCCACAGGTTTGGGTGGTCATTATGTAGAGATAACCTACAAGAGGTATCACACTGTAATCATTAGTTTGACTTGAACATCACAATCTGCTGAACTCTCCAGCTCAGGAGCTCCACAGTTAGCATTAGCATAGATCCCACGAACCATCACAACAAACGAAGGATGGTAAATCCATAACCCAAATCTCATGATTTCCTCTTCATACTTTCCAATGTGTCCTTTAAGGACCATCCAAGCGAAGAAAGTCTCTGTTCATGTTAGTCCAGCCACATATATGTGAAGCTGACAATGGCTATCTACTCACTGTTCCTGCACTTTTCTTTATCCATTTTTGTCCAATCAGACATGCGTCTGCATCCGCTGTGAGGGCCGTCCATAGTCAGACTGCTGCGAGGACACTTGTGAGGAGGCATAAGAGAAGCGAGACGAGCTGGACACCTTGCTTGCCTGATCTGATTGGTCGTATGCATCCACTTTCTCGTAGGAGGAGGGCTTAACATAGCTGGTGAAGGCGCGACCGTAGGTGGCAGGCAGGTAGGCAGAGCCACTGTAGTTGGGATCAGTGGGATAGATGCCGGCCGGTTGGGCAGGCTGCTGCTGGGCTGCTTGCTGCTGTTCGTATGCGGTTCTGCCCGCTGTGGTTGTGGCATATCGGTGGTTGAAGTCATAGACTCGAGGCTGAGTGCCGTGCTGACCATAAATGGGGCTTGGGGAGGGCAGCTGGGATGGGGTGTAGACTGGCCGTGAATTGGGTACGTATTCAGAAAATCCACTACTACGGATGTGGCGGTCCTCGTGGCCTCGGACATTGTAGTAGCCATTGGTGGGGTCCTATGAGAAGGACAGAGGAGTTTCGTTTTAGGTATACTGGAAAAACATAATGGGTTCTTTTTCTTTTTTTTTTTTAGTCTGTTCCTTGAAATTAGTATATTTTCCAGTTTTACCTTGATGTCCGATCTCTCATCCTCCTCCTCTTCCAGGAGGTCACTGTGTTCTGTGCGTGACGTCCCAGGAGACTCACTGCTGTTCGGAGCCTAAGGGAAGATCAAGCATATTGGATGAATTACCATGACGGACAAGACCACTTGGACAAGTTAGAGTGTTACATTGCAGGCTAAACATTAATTCTCCCAAACCTTCAAGAGAGATTAATGTCATACGAAGTCATACAAACAAAGAAATGAGGAACAGAAATTTACCATGGGCTCTTTGACATCCTCTTCATCATCGTTGCCACGTGTAGCGTTGTGATCGCTGTGAACAATCTGAACTCTGATGTCACTCTTGGAGAGACGGGTGCACCTTTTGCCTATGGGAATGAAAAGAAAAGAAGATTTACTTGACTTTTCCAGACATCAAAAATAATCGTTAATACATAGTGAAGTGACACAAAACATTTGAAGATGTCCGCTCATACATTGCAAAAACCTTAATGTGTTTGATAAGAGTTGGCTGTGGACCCTCGCACCCATACTGACCGTTGAGCTCACCTTTGCCAGTGTGCCTGCAGCACAGGGAGACCAGAGTGATGACACAGATAAGCAGGACACAGCCTCCACCTACGGCTCCACCAACAATTATCAGCAAAGGCAGGGCTTCTGTAACGGGAACAGTAATACCAGATAAGTATGGCGTAGTGAGTAGGGGGGTAGATGGTTGTCAGGAGAAAAGAATGGATGAAATAAGAGGTTGTGGAGTATAAGTGTCAGTGTCAAGAAAGAGCAGATCAGAGCAAAAAAAAAGAAAATAGATCCATTCATTTGTCTTGCTAATCCCAGAGACTTCAGCGCCTATATAAATTCATCTTCAGTAAGCCCTGTCCTGCTCACAGCTAGCGTATGCTCATGCGGGCAACTCACAGCCTGGCGATTGTCTCTAATCTCTCTGAAAGAAGGGTAACAAGGCCTGACATGCAATGAAGCAACAGACAGTAATCTAATTAGAGATTCCAGGAGATATCGCTGCCCATTTCTCCAGAGACCCCTCTCTGCTACGTTGATGTAAATTACTGGCGAGGACCTTATTTTTGGTGTCGGCTGCAACAAAGTCTTTCACTACTATTAGTATGGGGAAAAACTTCTGCCTTATATACATTCACTTAAAGGGGCTGCAGCCTGAGCTGCTGAACTTGGCTCTGGGACATTGATAGAGAATATGAGTCCAACCGCAGACACATGGGGCTTCCTCTAATTGACTTTTGTCCACAATCAATATCTATGGTATGGGGCAAACATATTCATTAAAGGAACCATCTGCTGATTAAATCATATCGATTTGGGGCAGCATAATTAAGATAAGCACAATGGAGGAGCTTTCACCTAATCTGGCCCCTTTCCCTGTGAGGACTAGGAGTTTTCACTATAGCTTCTGTAGAGGGCTCTGTTGGCTTGGGAGGAAATGTCTCCTTTTCAGTGCTTACCTTGTTCCTTCAGTGTGACCAGTGCTGTGCCAGTGCCGAAGCGGTTCCAAGCAGTGCAGTTGTAGCGCAGCTGGAAATCCTGAGCCAGTGTCTCGGACAGCACCAGAGAAGACACGACGCTGTGGTCGCTGGTTACTGTCTGCACTGAGTAACGGCCAGAGGAACCAGAGGATAGGCTCATGTCGCCAAAGGTCCACACCTGTGGAGAGAATAGCAAACAGGATGTAAGTCCAGGGGCAAGTCCAGACAGGGTGCTGAAAACTAGGGCACTGTCACAAGGGTTGCATATGTATGTGCACATACACACATGTCTGAAGCATCTACAATTGCTGTATCTGATATTCTTAACTACTTTCATTAAGAAATTAAAAAAAATGTCATCTCTCTGTCTGTCTTTTATTTGAATTTAAAAATGTCACACCACAAATCTCTCGAATGCTAAATTCTTTCAACTCAAAAAGAAGCTGAATCATCAAAGTCATAGTAAAACGTAGCAAAAGCCTTGAAGCATACAGTAAGACCTTCCATTGTCAAGGCAGTCAGCCAATTGTAGTTTAGGATTATGTGGTGGCAGGGGGTGGCAATCAGATTTCAAGAGGGGTGGGTGGGTGGGGGGGTTTCCACACCAGTTCAACCCCCTGAACACACCTTGTAAAGTAACTTTTCTAAGAAAAATCTCTCAAAGCAGAGGTCTGCGCAACTGTTTATCCTTAGATCCTTGCCTGCTGCTGACTGAACATGAGTTTCTCCGTTCATTCTACTTTCTTTGTGCCGACCCTGACAGTGCTCCGCAGCTGACACAGCTTACAGGCTCATGTTTAAGCTGCCTCCCACGTCTGCCCTGCAGGTGAGGCCTAAGGAGGGTTAGGTATCTGCACTATGAAATAAGGCTCCTCTCCCCTGTCTCTAGCACAAGGGCCAGCAGGGCACCTGTCTCTCACTCCTCCTCACACCCTAATTATCCTCTCCCAGCCCAACATACGTTCAGCAGTTCAACAGGGTCAGCTGAGTGATGCCTCTCAGGCCGCTAATTGAATGCGGTTTGGCTGAAACCTGCAGGAAGCTGGTCTCCCACAGCTCCTTTAACTCCACCATCCTCTCTAGTCAATGTCTGAGCAATTACAGCTGTGAATATGTGTGTGTATGTTTGTTAGCCTGTGAGGTGGAGCTGTGAGGGTGTAAAGGTGTGAAGGTGAGGTCAGGAGTAAAACTACTCTCAGTGAGCCATCTTATGGGGGTGTGGCTAAGAGGAACTTGTGGTATGTAAGCTCACAAAATAAGTGGACGACACAGAAAGCAAATAAGGGTCACTTACAATTTTATCAGGTGGGGGACTGCTGCCCACCCGACATTCCAGCTTGCCCTTGGAGTGCTTAACGGCGTGCTGTGTGGCGTCCGCTGTGATGATAGGAGGGCCTGGTGTGAAAAAGAGGGAAAAAAAGAAAAATGGTATTCTGTATTACTGATCAATACCACAAGGTCAGATATCAATTTTGATGCGTTTTGTTCGACAGAGTAGATCAAAACATCACAGGCAAAGCTGTATACTCTAAAATAAATCAACTCACCATTTACAGTCAGAGTGACATCTCTTTCTGCCACTCCAATCCGAGGTACAATAGCCTTGCAGGTGTAAGTTCCGGCGTCCTCCTGGGTAACAGCCTTCAGCTGCAAGGTGTTACCATTACTGAGCACCTAGTGAGAAAACCAGCGACAAAACCAAGAAGTGTGTTAGTTGGAGAATGAGCCAGAACAAGAGCAAAGAGGCAGACAAAAGGGGGGCTGGGACCTTCATCAGTGGCCCGCTCATTGTAGAGGCAGCGCAGAGGTGGGCTGACCACTGTAACAAATGCTGCTGGTTTGAATTTAATTTAATTGTGAAGAGCTTTAATCACAGCATTAAGCTCTCCAGCCGCCACCGAGTGACCGTGCGGCTGGGGAGATTGTTGTAATTAAACAGCGGGGACCGAACAGAGCACACTCGGGCGTGAGTGGGCCCCAGCCCTTTTTGAGCCGCTACACTCACTCACTCCTCAGCTCATTGATCCTGTCATTCCATCAAGCTGTGATTAATCCATTTACCCCTTCTCTCTCCACCTCCTCCATCTCTACAACCCCTGCTATCACTCTCTCCGATTTTTATTTCAACACACTTATGGAGTAACCCAATTAATCCATTACTCGTGGCAGTGTGGGGGGACAGTTGCTGTGGGTGGATTAGAAAAATGCCTGCACGGTTCCCTCAGAGGGGCTGAAAGCATTCACTCTTAGAGATGACAGCATCCCTTACGCCATCCCGCAGGCACATTCTTTACTAGGGGGGTGTTTTTTTTTCTCCCAACATCGCCCCAGAAATTACATTAGGAGTAAAGCTCCTGTGGGATGTACCTACTGATGGTGTTTACGCTCAGACTTTTACCAGGATGATGTGAAGCGAAGGTAGAAAGAAAATGTCCCATTTGTTTCACCTATGAAATTAACTTTGAGGAAATGGGTACTCAAGGGCAGTCAGGCCTCTTTGATGTCAAAGATGCTGCTCTAAAAGTTGCAGCACATGTTGTAATTCTGTTATTTTCAACCACACCTTAACTCACTGGTTGTCTGATTGATTCATTGATTGATTGATTGTACCAAGGATTACAACAGTATTTCATGTGGCCCGATGGTGCTATATGAATCAGTCAGTGGACAGACTGTTTCTGCCGGAGGCTCTAGCCCTCAGGGTGCATACAGAGAGGTGTTGAAGATTCAGCTGGAAAAAAACGAATGTGTTGGGGGAGGTAAAGTGTGAAGGATTCATGCCTCAAGGCCATGTGTGAATGTTTCTCTCTTGGAGGGGTGGTGTTGAGGCACAGTGTTTAAGCTTCACCTTCCCATCCAAGATAAAGTTGTGACTGATATTTGTTGTCTTACCACACTGGAGCCATGCTTTGTCCAGGCCAGGGTCAGAGGAGGGTTTCCAGTCCAGGCACAAGTAAAGGCTGCATCCATTCCAATATCCACTGTCATTGGCTTCGGCTCAGACAGCAGTCTGGGGCCAACTAGGGTGAAGCAGCGCAGACAACCGATTACAATCAATAAGAAGGTGCTTTTGAAACAACAGAAAACAGCCCAGTACACTGAAGGGATAGTTAGCCTAAAGTTCACTCACATTGGACGTCGACTAGGGTGCTGACATTGGTGCTGCCAACCGAGTTGGACACCTCACAGGAGACCGGGTCTGTGAAATAGGAGTAGTCCACCGTCACCTCAAGGCTGTCCCCGTTTGCTTCAGAGATGGGAACTCCTCCTTTCGACCACCTGGGACAGATGAATAATCTCATTATACAGCTGCATTAGTTCAGGGAAGGTACTTAGCCATGCGTATCAAAGTGGCTATTAGCTGATTCATGGTTTATGCCAATCACAATCACACACTGCCAATCAAGCAGACCATTTGACCAAGTGAATCTACCGAACACTATCATGCTTGTACTGCTGTTTGAATGAGAGCTGTCCTCTGGTTTTCATGTTTGCTGGCTGTATGTGTATGCTGGCAAAGGGTGAGAAATTGAGATTAAGCAGAGGACAGATACCTGTATCCGGTGATTTCAGGGTTGGCTGAAGCAGAGCAGATGAAGAGAACCTTAGCTCCCTCGGCCACAGTCTGAGGCTGTACTGATAGAGTCACTGAAGGAGGGTCTGTGGGGAGGAAAACCTCTATGTTACTACCATACAAGTTTATGGACTTAATGGATTTCCTAATCATATTGGTACCTTACACCTTTTAGCTTGCATCAAAACTAAATGTGTCGCTGCAGGTTATTGTACAAAGAAAACCTTTTGCTGCAGAGCCAAATGATACTATGAATGGTCTGATGCCGGGACACTTACGCTGGACACTGATTGTGACCGATGTCTGTCGTCCAGCAGGGGCAGCAGGGTTAAGGACCCTGCAGGTGTAGGTGCGCCCTGAGTCGCTGTCCTCTGGGACAATTGGAAGCATACTAACAGCAGCCTCCCTCTTTCCATCCTCCATTGGTATCTGTAGAAATACAGCAGAGTAACTGTAAGACAGCGCTAGAAGTCAGGGCAACAGTGTGCTTTTAAAGAGAAAGACAAACATCCACTCAATGTCGCACAGGCAAAGCATATTTGGGAATATCTGTATGACACTGCAGGTTTTATTTTTTCATGTGTTAGGCATTAAAATTGCCATCCTGTTCTATGACATTGCAGTTAAATCATATATTTTACGATGCAGCAGGGGATATTGTGCTGTTCCCACATTTCTGAGAGTGTTCCCCGTCAGCGCTCTTGTTTGTCATCATCTTTTAAATCTATTTACTGCTCACAGGAATCAATACGCCTAAGTGAGGGAAGGTGTAGATTCTGAGGATATGGCTCACTGCTCTCTCCCTCTCTTTTCCTCTCACACACACATGGGGAAAAAAACTGTGATGGCTAAGGTGCCTGTGTGAGTGTTTTTGGGGTGGTGATATTGAGAAAAAAAGTGTCACACATTTGTGATAAAAAAAGCGAGGGCAAGCTGAGCCGTTTCCCTGGGCAGCCAAATCAATGGACACAGGCTTTCACTTTCTCAGCCAGACACAAAAAAAGCATTTTTATGCTAGATCAAATCACATCACTCCCTGTCACCACCCCTCACACGGACAAAGCTTTCTCTTCCCCCCAGCCTCACTTCTTAATGTTGTAAAATCTCTCTTTTTTTCACAAAGCTCAATCTCACTACATCAGTCTTTATTCTTTTCCCCCCATATTCTTCCCTGCCTCTCCCTCCCTCCCCCCCTCCGATCTCACTGCAGGCTCTCGCCTCCTTAAATGTAGCGTTTAGCGTCGTTTAGCGTGGCCAGAGAGCATGAAAAATGTGACACTTTCCCAGCCATGGCCAGCTTACGCTCCGGCGCATCCCCATTGTGTTTCTGCATTGTTGTGGGTGATTTCTTCTCTGCAGAAACTCTACTGTATGAAACACTCATGCCTGTCTGAGCTTTGGCATGCTCCAGTTATGCTGTAGTGTCGCTGCATTAGCGAGCAAAAAGGGATGGAGGGGGTTAGTGAAAGAGAGGGGGGTGGTGAGGCAGAGTAGGAGGAGGAGGTGGGGTGGGAGTGTGAGGGGGGGGGGGGGGGGGGTCAGGCGTGAGTAAAAATGGGAGGGGGACTGCAGAGGGTGAGCGGACAAATAGTGTGAGAGAAGGTTGGCGATAGGGGAAAAAAACTGAAAACACTGAAGAAGGAAAAGAAAAAAAAATGAAAGAGGGAGAAATGAAAAGGGGACTATATACCCTAAGAGAAAATATTTCTGTTTTGAATAGCTTTGCATTTATCTCTGCCTCCCGTTGCGTTTTGAGTATATCGTGTGGGTGTTAGTGATTGAATGGTAGTGCCGTGCATGAGATCTGTTCTCACTGTACCTTAGAATAAATCGCAGACTCCATGACCTCTCCATCTCTGTACCAGGTGATCTCAGCAGCAGGTTTGGCTCCTGAGGCTTTGCAGGTAAGGTTGTGCGGTGTGTGGGCCTTAAGACGAACAACAGGGCCGCCCTCCACCACTGGGTCTGAAGGAGGAACTGTAAAACACAACAAACATACCACTCAAAACAAAGAAATCTCATTACGGCTCCAGGCCAGAACAGAGCCACAAAGAAGTCGTTCTGATATTGAGTTTGCTGTTGCTCTTAGCCCAGCATCAATATGTCGCAGCAGCAATAGAGGCAAACAACATCTTCTTAAGGCCATGTGTTGGTTTAACAAGGTGTAGTTTCAGACAGGAGAAAATAGCAAGAACAGTTGTCATTTGGAAAAAAACATACACTCAACTATTATTTATTTCCTTCCTTGGGACTTGCATTATTACTCTATTTGCTCTTATTGTTGCAGAGTGATGTTTCAACTGAATTGCTTATTTGTTCATTTATTTGCATGGTTTCGCACGCACCACTGGCAAGCCAAGCATGCCACCCCTGATGAAGCCGTCTATCTCCCCAACCAATAAGAAAAGGAGTAAACATGGGGTTTGTGCTGGCCTTTTTCGCTCCCTCCACCGAACCAATTTCACTGTGTGTATCTGAATTGTCAGAGGTCCTTCCGCTGCCGCGCCATGGACACTAATGGAATCCGAGTGCTAGGTGATTTTAATTTCCATGCCGATTCCCCTGACTGCACTCCCGCCGTTGACTCCTTTGACTGTGCAGGATTGCTTTGGTCTCATCTGGCCACATTGATTTACACATACACACATAGAGACGTGTGCACACACCTACACATGTGCAGAAGAAAAAAAAAGCCTTGTTCTCTCTTTAACACCCCTTATGTCCGCACATAAACTTGCAGAAACGTACTGCAGGTGTCTGAGCGATGCACCCGATTTCATTTATATGTTTATATTCTTATGAAGTGCATATAATGGTCATGAATCACAAGCCTTTGTTTTTCTGAGTGCTTTTTTTTTCAACGTGGAAAAGCAATATTATCAACTTTCTCTGCTGCCTCCACACAGGCATCGTTACGGCTGTGTGTGGGCATGTGATGACCGCGCTGCTTTGTGCCGCTCTGACAGCGACACTAGACACAGAGCAGTGGGCTGATGAACACAGGTGAGCTGTCGGAGTCTATTCATTTAGTTGAAATGTTCTGACATAGCGTGATCTCAATCTGCTTGCCTTTTCACGGCAACCCAGGAGCGCTTGTCACCCTGCCTCAATGAACTCGGAATTCACAGCTCAGTGGGTAGCAGATTCAAGGACAATTCAAGGCTCTGTGGTGAAAGCTGCTTCTGTGGGACACACTTCAGCACCATGCCTGTGCAATTGTAACTCTTTGTTTTCCAACTCATTCTGTATCACACTTAGCTTATAGGCGCATATATGGACAATGGACAGTACAAATTAATTAAGTGATATTCCTTTGCATGCCACCAGATGCCAGCAGTGCTTTGCTGATTCCAATCCTCAAGAGACCTGGCCCTCGTCCTCCTCCTTCTCCTCCTTCTCCCCCCCCCCTCACCCCCCCACTGCCCTCCTGAATGTCTGTGCGAAGAAGTAGATCACTCACATCATGTTAATGTAAAAAGCGCCTTGCAGTTGACAAATGTTGTAGCTCACTGTAAAATGTGCTAACTGTGCAGACCCTGACTTTCAAGCCACTACGCAAGTCATTTGTGACTGCAGCAATCACATTATCTCAGACGTCCACAGTCTTGATTACTGCCACTGAGAGCAGAGGGCTTTCCTTTTTTCCTTTTCTTTTTTCAAGTTCAGGCTCTTGGCTGAGCCTTGCTCGGTTTGTATTATATATTCAGGACATGATTTTTACACCAGAAAACTAGATTTATGATGGGTTTATCTGTGAGGGGGTAATCAGAGTTTTTTTTCTGAATTGCAAATCACCTGAGAAGTGTTTGATGTATTTTTGATTCCTCCATGATCATTATGAATGTGAGGCTACTTTTTGTGTATTGTAGGGGTTGTTGATACATGTATGTATTTGTCTACATGTGTCTGTGCTGTGTGATTAAGACACTCCCCTGATTGTTCCCAAGCGCTGCCAGCCTGCAGGCTTTGGCACGAGGGCTGGCTGCGGGGATCATGCATGAGCTGTGTATCTTACCTAGTACAGTGAGCTTGGCTCGGTGGGAGCGCAGTCCTGCCTGTGTAGCCTGACACTCGTACACCGCGTCATCCACCAACTCTGCCGAATCGATCAGCAAGCTGTGCTCGCCTGATAGCGGGTCGCCCATTAAGGAATAGCGCATCCAGCCTGCGTGAAGCCAGCACAGAGAATAGAGTCAGAGACAAACCGAGCTACAACAAACACATAATGAAAGGACTATAAAATGAACAGACTTGTGCCGTAAACAAAGGCTAGAAAAACGTGGCGAGACACAAATGAAAGCAAAGCAGCACCTCACTGGGCCAGGAATTGAGCCGTCGCGTTAGCGGACCAGCGTGAGGCTAGAAATGCAACACGTGAGAAGGCTTCCGCATGAGGAGTGTGTCCTTTAAACACAGACATAATAAAGATGGGGTGGCTAAGGTCAAGAGGAAGCCTCTCCACCTTCTCTCTAGTCTGCCACACATTTAAATGTCAGTGCGTGACAAAAGCCAATTGATTATCTACTTTCCTACAAGGCCCTTAAAATGCTGAGCAACAAATTAAAGTTCCGTGTGCTGCTGTAGCTGACCTGCCTGTGGTACATAGTTCTCTAAACATTAATTTGCGTAAAACTCCATCGTTTGACAGGGAGAGACTTGGTTTCTAATGAGACCTGGCATTGATCGTAGTGAGACAGACACAAAGAGCAATAAACACACAGAAAGCAACAGAGCGAGAGAGAAAAACAGATAATACCTGGTAGATCTCTCTCTCCACCCAGAGCCAGTCCATCTTTTGTCCATTGTACCATTCCCCGATATCCCACTATGACACAAGGCAGAGTCACCGACTGACCAGATACGACCACCTGGTCCTGGGGCTGCTGGGAGAAGTAGGCTGCTTGGGTGGCTGCTGTGAGAAAAGGGAGAAAGCATGATGTAAATAAAACATGTCTTAGAATTTAAATTGTCATAACATTAGATGGACAATACGTTCTGACATTCAAAAAATAAAATATAAGACATAGTAAACATATAGTAGGTACAAAGGATGCTGCTCAGGGCCGATTTCTCTTTTCTGCTAGCAGCAGAGAATGTAATGCCAGTATGTTTTTTGCAGTGCTGAAAGGTAAAACATCCACTGTAAAGGGTTTGAATAGTGTATAGAAGAGAGCAGATTCATATGAACCCGACTGCTCGCTCTCTTGTTCTCATGGCACTTGCTGAGAGAATGGACAAGGCTGACATGTGGAAATATCATTTTTCTCCCCATAAATGTGGCTTCTAAGAGGAAGAGTCAGCTGCGCCTCATAACTTATTTAACTCTTTCTCCAAAACCATATGGTTCTGTGCTCGCTGACATGAAGCAAACACACTTCCTGGGAGAAACATGTGCCACTCTTTCGCGATGCTTTTTGTAAAAGTGGATGTTAAACAATCAAAACTCCATTAAAACTCCCCAGAGGACTATCCGTTTGAGCCTGCTGAAAGTCTGCAGAGACACCTGCCGCCGTTCCACTGCCGTGTTTAAGCACGGCACGCGGTCTCACCGGATTGGTTGGCCCGCCTTCACACGCATACATAAACACAGTGTGAATATAGCTCCGCGGTTTCAACTGTCTGTGCCACTATGCTAACGATTGAGCATTACAAACCCTACTGGCAGGGGAAGATGGCAACACTCCAGAGGTAACTAATCCGTAGGGGAAGGTAGGAGGAGGAGAGGGAGGAGAGGGAGGAAGGAAGGCAGTTGGTTGGTTATCTAAGTGGGGTGTCTGTGAGAGTCGTGAAGAGGACTTAAAAAAACTCATTCTCCTTCTCTTTTTCTTTGTTGCTTGGTGGAGAATGGAAGGGAAGGGGGACAGAGGCAGATAAAGAGGGCTCTATTCAGGCAGTACTAAGCCCCCCCTGAACTGCTTCTCTTGGTGGGAGCGCTTAAACAGACAGGGTTGCCCCCCCCCCCCCTCCCAGTGAAGAAAGCCGCTGAAAGGAGGGCAACATACGGCGGCCAGAGACGCGCTATTGTCCCCTTGTCCCTCTCTTTTAATAGGCCTCTTCATTTCCAATCAATCCTGCTAAATGCAAGTTTAATAGCTTTTCAATAGCAGCTTTTCCCCCCAGAGGGTAGCTGGGATTTTCTCTCTCTCTTTCTCTTACCCCTTTTCTCTTTTCCCCCCGGCTTGTTCCCCCATCTTTCTTGTTCTAATCTATCCAGTTTTATTTTGGGGAGGGGGGGTCCGAGGTTGTTGGCAGTGTTTATTCTGCACTCAATTATCCACTTCATCTCGGGGTGCACCATGGGCTGAACCCTGCCCCCTCCTCCCCTCTCCCTTTGCACCCTCCCCTTCCCTCCCGTGTCGCGCAACGCCACAATCAAAGCCGCAAACAGAGAGTTCATCACGTTCAGTTCTCCGTGGCTCCAACTGCCCCAAAATCCATTTTCACATGCGCACATACTCATATACATATTTTTTTATCGTGGCCAAAAGAGACGTTAACAGATAACTGAGAAGAAGCAAAACATCAGACAACAATGCATGGTCGTTCACCAATAATGTCTCCCTGTACATCATTTTAAACCCAAGTGTTTGAAAAGCTTATTGAGCGCTGGATGCAAACAGGTAGGCTGTATGTGTGTCAGGCATTGCGGATCAAAAGGGGCCAATTTAAGAGCGTCGATGAGAAGTGAAACATCTCCTAGCCCAGGCTATTAGGTGTTTGGCGAAGGCTGGCATTTTCCCATCATACCTTTAAAAATGCTGTTTTTACAGTCTGTCCCCTAACATTTGGCATTTATGAGCTATCAAGCGTTTTCCTATGCTTTCCCTCGCAGAGTGAGTTAGGGGATTTTCGTCTTTGTACTCACAACAGTTCAAACATTGATCGCAATTAAGTATCTTGCCCAGAGTATCTAAATGTTTACAATGGGTAATAATTCAGTGCATTGGTTGATTGTTCAGATTGATTACATGCATTCAATTGTTTCTCTTTACCTCACCCACATGCAATTTCTCATGCTCACATATGGCAATTAACGCCCTGTGTGCACACACATACAAATATAGAGTGCAGCGTGCTGCAGCGAACGTCTTCACACCATAGGAGTGATTCATGGCTCTCCAGCTCCCTTATTGAAAACGCTCAACAGAACATCTCGACGGGCTAATGACTCATGCCAGATTCCTTTAATTCCTCCTTGCTGAATTAGACAATTCTTTGACGGTGTATTAGCAGCTTAATTACATGAATACATTTCTGACAGAAGGAGCGAGGAAGGAATAAAAGAAGACAAAGAAACGGTGGAGGAGAGGCAGTCAGAAGAAGTGAGGAAATGTGGGTGTAAGGCGGCTTGGTCTTGGTGTGTTGCAGTGTCATGTACACAAGCATGTACACAAACTCGACAACACAGGAGTGTTCAGGGTTCTAGCAGACTGTTCCAATTAAATCAACTCAGAAGAGAAAGATCAGAATCCCCCCAATTTCTGCAGAAGCTGTTACTTTATTTACCAAGTCGCTTGAATATGAATACGCAGGTAAATATGCACATGGCAGATTAGATGTGTCTCATGTGGTATGCTCTAAAATTACTTTAAAGGTGGGTAAAATTTAGATTTACAAGTCCTAGTCACAAAAAAACATGAAACATTTACTTGACTTCTTACCTTTGCGGTGTATGTGTGTGTATGTGTGTGTGTGTGTGTGTGTGTGTGTGTGTGTGTGTGTGTACTTTTCCATCCCCCAGTAACAAGGTCAAAACACATTTGGCCTGATACTTTTTAATCCGGATTTCTCAAAATGGAATATCATTTCACGCCCCTGGATGCACATGGGGCCAAGTTTATGTGTGTGTGTGTGTGTGTGTGTGTGTGTGTGTGTGTGTGTGTGTGTGTGCATGGCATCTCTTCCGAATTGTGTGGGCTCAGTGTGTGTCTAAAAATATGTCATATATGTTTATACTATATCTGGAGGGTGGGGCAGGGTTGATAGGGAAAGCAACTTGTGAGGCATATTTAGCTGTCACTTTGACACAGTGACTATGCTCTTTCTGTCACATGGTCGGAGTTAAGTGCAAAAATACAGCTTCTCCGACTTGGACATAACCTATTAAAGAGCTTTGCATGAACCCTGGCACTGGCAGCACTCTCTCTCCTCTATCTGAACAGATAGGGATACTTTCACATCGGAAAGGATCAGGAAGGGATGGACAGATGTCAGCAATGATCCGTCCACCATGGGACATCTGCCTTGATAGAATTAGATTGAACCAGCTACTGTGTGTGTAAGTGTGTGTGTGTGTGTGTGTGTGTGTGTGTGTGTGTGTGTGTGTGTGTGTGTGTGTGTGTGTGTGTGTGTGTGTGTGTGTGTGTGTGTGTGTGTGTGTGTGTGTGTGTATGTGTGTTTGTACTGCTAATGTATAAGGGTAAGAGCCAGCCATAATGCTAAAGAATGAGAAAGATAATGGCATTGAAGATAACCTTTAGATGAAATGTGGATCTACCGTAATACACACAGTGCACTTATTTTAAGTCACCAGAGTGGTAATCTGCGATGCCATTTTGGTAATCTTACCAAAAAAAAACAGATTGCAGGTCATAAATCAACTTAACCCGGCACTCAAAAAGTCACCTCCTTCAGATACAACCTGATATAACATCATACCCTCTTGTTTGTAACAGCTCGGGTGATGTACTCCAATTTTCCATTTTTTACAATGACACTCAACTGCATTTACTCTGAAGAGGCTCCAAGCTGCATTCACAGAGTCTCTATTTTAGTCCTGATGTTATTCCATGTCCTCATTCCCATCCAGTACAAACAGTGCAAAATCTGGCCCCATGGGGTCTATAAATACAAGTGCTCTTAACTGGAATGGTTAATTGGCACTATGCAGTAATAATTCAAATTGTAACAAAAACAAAACAAAAACAGAGCCTGATATCTTCTTGCATTTTCACCTAGGTGTTGGAGGCAGAATCCTGCGTCCAGCTGGTGTGAGTCCTCCACAATAAAAACCAGAGAGGAGAAAACAAGGAGGAAGAGCAGAAAATACAAAACAAGGCAATTGGCAAAAAAGTGTCAAGCTTGGAATAAACAGCCCCTTTCCCCAAATGCCATCCATTGTGTCTTGTCTAGATAAGGCTTCTAAATCAGGCTGGAAAATGCAAGCTCCATTTCTCTCTGTATGGAATTATTATCCCTTTGTTTTGAGTCCTTTTTGTCCTCCACTTCCTGTTTGTGTGTGCATGTGAACAAACAGACAGCCATGCTGAGGTAGCTCAACTAAAGAGTATGTCCCAAAGGGGTCCCAGCGCTCATCTCATGTTTGATCTGCCTACCAAGCTCATTACAACGACTCCAACAGAACTTCTGAGGGACTGCAGGAGGGCTAACAGCAGATACCACCCACCAACTTGTGGCAGTATGGCACCCAGCACCCTCTCTGTTTTCTCTTGGACTGCTGCAAAAAACTGCTTCAGCTTGTGCCTCTGCAGATGGTGTCCTCTCTCACACCTTAATGCGTCCCGCTCTCTCTTCAATCCTTTCTCTCCCACATTGCATTCCAGCTGCACACCCACCCACCCACGCTTACTATCTTTTCTCCCATTCTGTATTTTTTTGGTTCCCAAATTGCAGTCTAACAGCTATTTAAGAGCTGTTTTGCTGGAGTTTAATCCTCCAAGCCTCCCCTTTCAGCCTTTATTCCATTGTGAAAATCTTGGCTCAGACCTCGACCCTTTTTACCAGAGTGGACCCGCTCATCCACCATGCCCCCCCAAAACCCCCCTCTCTCCGCAAATCCTCTCCCCTCTTCTGCTCTTGTTGATACCCCAACCCGGAGCATTCTCTTCCATTCCTTCATCCCTCAACAATCCATCCTCTCATTCCTCTGTTTATCGCTCAAGCGTCTACAGT